TTCCTGGATGCTTCTATAATAATTTGTACCCATGACATTAAATCATTTAATGTGTCATTTTTTGGATAGACTATCTTAAAAATGGTTAGCCCCCTTAAACCTTAGATTTCAGTTTTCCTTGGTTGTAGGAAAGTTTCTAGTTTTCTCTTTTCCACAAATGTGATTTACCTCTTTCACATTTGTCTTCCATATTCACCATATGAACTCTAGCAATTTTCATCTCCTTTTTTATATTCTAAGACTCTCTCACTGATTTTTCAAGCCAATCCTTTGGGTATTTATTTTTCCTAGAGAGATTTTTGCTATAGGGCTCATGAGCTCACTAGAGAGACAGAGAGAGATGGAGAAACAGAAAGCAAGAACTCACCATCCTGGGGGGATGGCCACACTGCAATCGCTTCTCCTCCAGTTTCTTCTTGGGATTTGGGGCATGCACACACACACACATGCCCATGTGAGTCCAGGTTTCAAACTGTGGTTGACTATGTGGGGAGTAGAGGGACATAATCACTACACCCTCTACTGGTCCCACCTTTGAGTGTATTTTTCCTCACTGTGCCATCTTCCTGCCAGCTATACTTCAAATTCTGTAATGATACTATCTGCTTTTATAAATTCTCTTCTAAACTCTCTCATTTCTCTTTAGGTCTCTCTTATCATATACCCTCATATTCCTTCAAGTTTATTTTCTATTTAAATTGAGTTCATAAAATAGTTCTGCCTAAAACTATTCTTAGTTTTTTTAAGAATAATATTCAAAATTATAATTTTATCTTTTAGCAGGCTCTTTTCCCTCCCTTACTCCCAATTTGTTTATCTTGAATAGGTACGAGTTTTTAATACTTTTTTTTTCTCTTCAAAAACTGATGTGCATATATATTTCTTGGGTTTCATCCAGGTATATTTGACATTTTGCAATTCAGGTTCATCTTGTCAGTTCTACCTGAGAGAGTGGAAGAGGAAACCTTGATTACAGCAGTCCCCAGCTGTTTCTTCAGGCTTTGTTAGTGAATTAGAATGGCTTGAGCAGAGGCAGCTTTCCATTACTTGGTTTTGTTCTCTATTCCTGGCATAGCAAAAATATTAAAATCTTCTTGCTGGTCAGATCCATGGCCTAGGGGTTAAAGAAGCTGGATTCCACACATTAACCATGCAGTTCTACAGTTCAAATCCTGGGCCCGGGGCTGGCAGGTGGTGTGGTGGTTCAAGATGCTGGATTCCCGCAGGGCCGACTGCAGTTCGATTCCCGGAACTAGTGGCTTGCCTTCTCTCTCTCTCTCTCTCTTTCTCTCTCTCTCTCTTATACACATACACACACACACACACACACACACATTCTGTCCGTCTCTGATCAAATTGAAAGAAAGAAAGAAAAAAGCAAACAAATAGACAACACAAATCCTAACCCCAGGTGCTTGTGAAGTCCACTGGACACGAGTACTTACGTACTCAAAATCTCAACAGGATAGAAAAATGAAAAAGAAGGGATTGTAGTGTGACCATGCCTTATTGTGGGTGCTTTCACTCTTTGCCTCTTTGTCTCTCTGGTGAGTGCATGAACTTTCTGGCAATCAAAAAAATTATAAAATGTGATTTTTCTCTATGGTTTCTATTCATTGAGGCTAGAACATGTCCACAGGCTGTTGTAAGAGAGCATTAACTCAGAAACCTTGGCTACTGTTCTTGAACATTTTTTTTTTTTAACAATTGGTACAAATAAGAATTTGTTTAGCAGAAAGTTTCTGAGTCCATGGACTTTCTTCTTAGTTCTTCTAAGAATTTCCATTAATCCCTCTACCCTAGTTGATTGCCCTACAAGTCAAATAATTCCTGTGATAAATCTCACCACCAATCTTGACCACATGTAGATTACAGGGTGCATCTTCTACAGCAGTCTCTGCTTTTAGGAACCTGAGTTGGAGAAGAAGTTCATTGAGTAGACATTTTTCTGCTAGAGATTAAGAAGAAAACCTAGAAGCAAATTTCAAAGGGTAGTCCAAGAAAGGAGACCCTCACCTCTTCCTTGGCATTACCCTATCATTAGTCTTTATAGCTCTACATGAAAGGTTATGTGTGATTTGCCAAATATTAATCTTGACCAGATGAAGTTCTTTTCCTTCCCATATGTCCTTTTATTTAGACACTAGAGTAAGTTTCTAGAAATTAGACGGAACAGCTGCTTTTACATCACCACCTTAAAAAGCTTTTGTTTTTAATATTCTTAGGATTATAAGAACAATGATCACTGTAGAAGTGTAGAAAACTGGGAAATCTTTAAGAAAGAAGTCCATATCATAACCCCACCAATACATCTCAGTCTCATTAATATATTAATGAACACATCAAGTGTAAGATCTTTGTTCAAGTACACTATTTCATATAGATAGTTCACTTTTTATTCCTAATTTGAGGCCCAGTTTTGTTTTTGTTTTTGTTTTTTAATTTGGAATTCATGTGTCAAAATGACAAAGCACCAAATCTGAAAGTGTCTGGGTTTCTGAATTACTCCTCAGAGGAGAGTAGCCCACTAATCAGCACATTATGTGAGCCAATATTAAGCCCATAATATTTTTTTTTTTTTTTTTTTTTTTTTTTACTATTTGAGCCTGTTCACTTAACAATTAACAGTACCCCACTATACACATAAAAGCATTGGAGAGTTTTAAACAGAAGAGTCACGTGATAGTAAATGATCAATCTGGTTTCTTTGTGAAGAAGACTTTAGAGGGGGAAGTGGGGTGGAGGAGACTGGTTAGAAGTGATTAATAAAGTGTTGGCAGGAGATGTTGGTGACTTTTGCTAGGATGGTTGCAGTACAAGGAATAAAAAATGCAAAAGGGATTCTGGATATATATTATTGGGGGAGTTGAAAGGTTTGCTAACAAATTGGAGGTAAGTTAGAGAAAAAGAGGAGATCTG